AGCCTCCGGTAGTCAGACCCCTCTCAAGACCCCGGTCAAGACTGTCATGCGGTCTCCAGCAGCCTCCGGTAGTCAGACCCCTCTCAAGACCCCGGTCAAGACTGTCATGCGGTCTCCAGCAGCCTCCGGTAGTCAGACCCCTCTCAAGACCCCGGTCAAGACTGTCATGCGGTCTCCAGCAGCCTCCGGTAGTCAGACCCCTCTCAAGACCCCGGTCAAGACTGTCATGCGGTCTCCAGCAGCCTCCGGTAGTCAGACCCCTCTCAAGACCCCGGTCAAGACTGTCATGCGGTCTCCAGCAGCCTCCGGTAGTCAGACCCCTCTCAAGACCCCGGTCAAAACTGTCATGCGGTCTCCAGCAGCCTCCGGTAGTCAGACCCCTCTCAAGACCCCGGTCAAGACTGTCATGCGGTCTCCAGCAGCCTCCGGTAGTCAGACCCCTCTCAAGACCCCGGTCAAGACTGTCATGCGGTCTCCAGCAGCCTCCGGTAGTCAGACCCCTCTCAAGACCCCGGTCAAGACTATCATGCGGTCTCCAGCAGCCTCCGGTAGTCAGACCCCTCTCAAGACCCCGGTCAAAACTGTCATGCGGTCTCCAGCAGCCTCCGGTAGTCAGACCCCTCTCAAGACCCCGGTCAAGACTGTCATGCGGTCTCCAGCAGCCTCCGGTAGTCAGACCCCTCTCAAGACCCCGGTCAAGACTGTCATGCGGCCCCCAGCAGCCTCCTGTAATGAGGACTGGCCCTCTCCTCACTGGTCCACTGGGAAGGGACGGGGGAATACCATGCGTGAAATCACGTTGCCTCAAAGCATGGAGACGTACATTCAGACATACAGGCATCATTGTGAGGGTGTCGCACCGACAGTAAAACGGAAAGAAAATAGATAAAGATAAAGAACTTCCTCGTATTCATGGCCCATGGTGTTAACCGGCTGTCCGATTGGCTGTTCCTAAAAGACACAAAGAGGGTCCGTGGCTGGAGCGAGTATATTGTAAAGTCGGGCCGGGCAGTCACAACATCGCTGTTGTTCCTGAAGAATGTGAACCATTTCCTGAGGTACTTGTCTGAGTCAAAGCTCCGGGGGTGCAGGCTCACCCAGTCTGATATGACCCACATCATCAGAGAGGTGAAAGCCAACATGAAAGACTTGAAAAAGTCTGTCACTGTCCACCAGTTCAAGATGAAGAGGAACAAGCTGGATCGTCTGCCGAGCCAGGCGGAGCTTCTCGCCGCCATGGCGGCCGCTGAGAAGCGCATCCCTGATTTACTTGACCTGATGGCTTGCAACCCAACCTCAATCACCCAGTACCTGCTATATGGCTATCTAACCCTCCATTGGAGCCTCCTGTATGGCCACCGTCCGGGTGTGTACGCAAACATGACCAACACTGAGGTGTTAGAGGCGGACAGAAGGGGCACTGCTGAGGGCTAGATCATCCATGTGCAGGATCACAAGACATTTGGCGAAGCACAGCTGGTGCTTACAGTAAAGGAGTTTAGCTGGGTCATGCGGTGGATGGGGATAAAAGAGGGCTTGTCGGGTCCTCAGAATGAATTCTTCCTTTTCACAACGGGGAAGCACGCCTCCAGGAACCTGAACGCTCACTTGAAGAGGGCTTGGGCTGATGCTGGGCTAGAAACAGCCGTCACCTTCACAATCCTGCGCACTGCCCTGGCAGACAATATCAAGCATCACCAAGATCCAGAAAGCAGGTCGATTCTCGCCAGGTTTATGTGTCACGACGTAAGCACTGCAGACCGGTTCTACGCGAATACGCCTGGAATAAAGGAGGGATTGAAGATCCGCTCCATGTTCAGGGCGGCAGCAGCTGCAGCAGCATCATCGGAAGGAGTTCTACCGCCGTCAGATACCTCCGAAGAGGACTCAGGGGCGGATAGCAGCGATACCTCTTCTTCAGGGCCGGTTGATACTCCTGATGTGGGGGTAGAGGCCGTGGACTCAGCCTGTTTCCCTCGGTGCACCGTACAAGTTAGACGGCTAATATGGCCCCCCGCTAATCATGTTTTTATCATGTGTTTATCATGTTTATTATGTATATTATGCATATTGTGTATACTGTTTTTGTAAAAATAATGTGATAATCAAATAAATAAAAAAACAATTTAATAACGTTTAAGGTTCCCAGGGGTTGATACAGTGCCAGGTATCAGACTATTTACCTTACACCTTCCCTGGCTTGTAAAATGTGGTGATGCGCCCTGGAGGTATCAGACTATTTTAAACAACTTTTCCCGCCTTTCAAACACTTATTCCTGGTTTTTAGCCTGTCATTTTGCAAGATATTATTTAACATTGAAGCTCTCCTGGAAATTGACATATTCTGTCCATCTCCAGGAGAGCTTCAATGTTAAATGATATCTTGCAAAATGACAGGCTAAAAATCTCTTCCAAACGTTTAAAAACACTTCCCCCGACAATTTAAACATTATTTCTGGCTTGTAAAGTGCAGAGGTAGTATCAGAGTATTTAAAGGGTTACCAGGGCGATGAGCACATCCTCCACAGGAGGGTGGGTGGTGCTGCTGTGAATAAGGCCGAATATGAATGCCGATGGGTGGTTGATAAAGCATCGCAAAATCCACCACCTTTAAGTGTTACCAGGGGCACGAGGTTCTTGAGGTTGTGAACATCTGGGTTTAGTCCGTGGGGGAGTGCTTAAGTTCGGGGGCCCGGGGACCCAAGGTGCGCGAGGTTATGGAAGTACGCATGTCAGGGAGAGATGCTGGAGCTGCTTAGTCCGTCCTTTGGGGGTCTTGGAGCGGCCACAGAGAGGTGGTTTTCGCGCTCTGTCTCCTGGTAGTGTGAAATAGCCTGTTTGCTCATGTCAGGGAGCGATGCTGGAGCTGCTTAGCTGCTTAGTCCGCGCATTTAAAGGCCGTAACTCATTTCAACACAAAGTTATGTGTCCGCAAGTGTTTTTAACTCTTCGATTTTGAGAAAAAACTGAATAGGACACGCCCACATTCATCATTGATTGCGACACTTTAAATCTGAGTTTATACTCATCCTGCCAGTATATCTATGACAAAATATATTTATTTCGTCAATCCGTTCTTGAGGTATACATTTGTTGGGTTTTTGGCGCCCCCTATTCTCCAAAATGAACATGCCTATTTCTCAAGGTAGACTGAACCTATCCACCGAAATCTTTGATATTTGGATACATTTCGGATGAATTGTGAGCAGTTATGTCTAGGCCACACCTTTTTGCTAATACGTTTTGATTGATGTCGGCCACATTTTTCCACACCTCGTGCTCATTTTCTACGGTAATGTGTCTGACCCCGCACTGATGCTGAGTTTGGTGTGGAAAATCCAAAAAATTATATTTCACTGTTTTTCACATTATGCTAATTTAAAGTACGCGGAGCTTAGGGATACGAGAGGATAATATGTAGAGCCGCTCCACCCGGATAAGTCTGCCATATTCCAGGTCCATCAGAGTTACGCTGCGACTATGTACATTATTCGAAAACAGAATTTTCACAGTTGGCGCTAGCGAGCATGTTGGAAATGTTGCACCCATCAACTCCGGAATGTAAAACGTTTCACCCGTCCTGGCAGCCTTGCCAAATGTCGCTACATGAATAGTGTCGTAACCCCCTCAAAAACAGGTCGAAACTGCAGAGCATGGAGAATAAGAATAAGAATTCTACTAATTACAATAGGTCTTCGCACACTTCCTGCTCAGGCCCTAATAAGAATTATACTAATTACAATAGGTCTTCGCACACTTCCTGCTCAGGCCCTAATAAACAGAAAAGGCAGACAAGAGAAAGTTGATTGGGGGGGGGGGGGGGGGGGGCTTATGGATATACAGAGTTGAAGAGATGGGTTTTGAGGCGGGACTGAAAGACTGTGAGGGACTCAGAGTCACGAAGACCTTAGGGGAGGGAGTTCAGAGGAGCTGCCACTGAGAAGGCTCTGTCCCCAAAGCTGCAGAGTCTGGATGTGGGAATGGATAGGAGTCCGGCTGTGGTGGATCTGAGGGACCGTGGGGGTTGATAGGGGGTGAGAGGGTTAGTGAGATAGGGGGGGGGGGGGGGCAAGATGGTGGAGTGCTTTGTAGGTGAGGACCAGAATTGTATAGTTGATGCGGTGGGAGACAGGAAGCCAGTGGAGGTCTTTGAGGACTGGGGTGATGTCATGATTTGGTATGCTGGAGACGTGCAGCTGCATTTTGAACCCGTTGGAGTCTGTTGAGGGATGTAGTGCTGATGCCGTAAAGAAGTGAGTTGCAGTAGTCAATGCGGGAGGAAATGAAGGCGTGGATTAGTTGTTCGGCTGCGGGGCGGGTGAGTGAGGGTAGGATTTTTGCAATATTGCGGAGGTGGTAAAATTAGGTTTGGACTGTTTGGCGGATGTGAGGCCAGGGACGGCCCTGCGTGCTTGGGTGGAGGGGGAAACAATGGTGCTATTGATGGTGAGTGCTTGAGGAACGCCTTGGGTGACTGAGGCTGTGGCAGAGGAGTGGTTGTTGAGGGAGATGAAGAGTGATCGGTTGGAGAGGCAGCACTAGAGCCACCTGAGTGCAGCACCTTTACTACCAATGTCCCTGAGTCGGGTGAGCAGGATGTTGTGGCTCACGGTATCGAAGGCTGCACTCAGGTCGAGGAGGATGGGGATATTGAGGGAACCAGTGTCAGCAGAGGTGAGGACTCTCCCAGGTAAGGACTCGCCCGGAATAAACTTTACGTAACTTACGAAACACCAAAGTGACCAAATCAACAAAAGATCGCCATCAAGATATTCGAAGTCTTTAGAAACATAGACCATATAGGACAGTACAACTCTGATTATATTACAGTATGATTAAAATACCAAATAAATCATAGTTTTGAATTTGTTGATGATCATCATCTCATGTACAATATGTCATTTCCTCAATAAAAACAAGAAAGGAAGATGATTCAGCGGATTATTGCGGACATTTGAATTCCCTTGAGACAGAACAAATAAATGATTCATAAACAAGTATGTATTTTGTTATATTTAATAAAATAATGAAAAAAGTCCAAATACAATTGAGATCCATCTCAAATGTTAGGAACAGAGCCACTTCTTCCTCAGAGGATAAAGAGGTCCAGGAACAGCGAACGTCCCACCATGTGGAAGAAAGGGAACAGTCTACTGGCCCTAGGTCTCAGACCTCATCTAAACATCCCCACCATAAACCCCAGTCCTTATCCATTTACAAATCCTCCTTTACCCTTCTGGAATCTCAATCCTAAACATATGTCTCTGTTAAACACGAATAACTATAAAAATACAATTTCACAGAGTAATAGGCAATCAGAGTACAAGACACAATATATGTTTATATATAAATGATTATATGATAATTTGACACAACACGGATCATTGCTTTCTGTTAGTGTGTTTATGGCTGCTTGTGGCAGGCAGCGCTGAGGTACGCTCTGATGGCAGCAGTTACCATGATAGAAACGACTCAACTACATTTAAGCCATGACTGAACTGAACAGGAGAGACTCTCAGACCGGCAGAGGACGCAGAGACGCTGAGGAATCAGACCAGACTGTCAACCCAGCATAGAGAGGTTCAGTGAATGTGGTTCTGAAGGTGTGGAGGTGGATCAGTGTGTCAGAGGAGACTCTGTAGAAGGAGAGAGAGCCAGCAGGATGATCCAGATACACTGCTACTCTACCAGAGGGGGAGGAGGAAGGGAGGTCTGTTATTTTCTTATTGTGCATGACAAAGTAATAACCATCATGCCTCTGAAGCCTCCAGGACTGATCATTCCTTCCAAACTTAACCTTATCTCTGCCCCCCCACCTGCTGATTCCTCTGTAAGCCACTGCTATAAAAACATCTCCGCTCCACTCGACCTCCCAGTAGCAGCGACCAGTCAGAGCTTCTCTACACATCAGCTGAAGCCAGTACCTAAACCTCTCTGGATGATCAGGATATGGCTGCTCCTTCTCCACATGTGTCACCGTCCTGTTGTCTTCAGACAGTTTGAGGTATCTGTTAACTGTGTTTGTGTCCAGCTCCAGTTCACAGGCGTCTGATGGAGAGAACAGCTGCAGGTTATCATCTGTTCATTTATTAACTACATTACTGACGGTAATATTCAGCTTTTTGTCCTCATGTGGACCCGAGGGTGACAGCTGATGCTCCAATTAAGTTAACACAGGTACCTAATACCACCAAAGAGCTCACATTTAGCACCATGTTCACATCTATCATGAAACCGCCGACTGACGTCTGCTACTAAAACATTTCTGTCAGAAAACCCTCTCTGACAGAAATTAGGACAGGCTGTGATTATGAATTGTAGGTTTTTCAACAAGGATTATCTGAGGACGTCTAGAGAAGAAAGCTTCTTAAGGCAACAAAGCTCTTCTATAATATAGACAAATATTTCTATGAGAAGAAGTGAAGAAGTGAAGAAGTGTATTGTTGTGAGTTTTCAGAGTATGTTTAATACTTAAAAACGAAAGTTAGTTATAATCAAATATAATCAATTATATTCTTGTATAACCCACAATGAAAATGCTTCATATTTTAGGTTTTCTATAGTTACAGTATAAACAAAACAAAGTGGTTTGTTTATGTTGAGTTTTCTTCCTCTCCTCTGGCAGCAGTCCACAGGGAGGGGGGGCTTCACACTAGAGAAACACATTAAAGGCCAAAAAGAGGTCATGTCCTTTTTACCTCATATGAAAGGGTGTCTTATCCCATAACAGCTGTGGAACATGTCGGAACATGTTTAGCCTTGTACATTAGTGCGCATGCGCAGTTTTCAACTGAATTGGGTGAAGAGGAGGAGTTTGTTTTTTTGGGTTTTCGATCCAGTTTTTTAGCATAAAGAGACTGGTTTTTTTGAGAGAGCGAGAGAGAGGGGGGTTGACACCTGGTAGACTCTCTCCCGGTAGGCTGTGTGCTTCAGAGCTGGGTAACTAGCTCTCGGTATTGGTTCTGTCAGACGGGGTAAATATCTCTCGATTTTCTTGGTTGTTGGCTGAGTGGAATGATTTGATGAGAGATGTGTTGGTGGATATTATAACCCGCGACCTGTGAGGACCTTCCTTCGAACTCTTGGCGGATGGGAATGTGTTTTTTGACAGGTTAATCCACCGTCTGTGTCGGAAAAAAAGTGTTTGAATATTATAACCCGCGACCTGTAAGGACCTTCCTTCGAACTCTTGGCGGATAGGAATGTGTTTTTGACAGGTTAATCCGCCGTCTGTGTCGGAAAAACGGTATGAAACTGATGTGAATTGAGTTGGTAAAATGAAAAGTTGAATGCGCTTTTTATTGTCACCGGTCTTTTTACGAGGAAATACCTCTAAATTCTATCGGGAGAATTTTAAAATGTCACAACTGAAATGGGCAGTTGAAATTAAAACATTTTGGTAATAAATGTAAGACTGTGAATTAAAGTTTCATTTGAACATGATCACAGCACGGTTTTTTTTTAGTATGATTATAATGTTGTAAAGAGAGAAGGTAAAAACCCTGTATTAGTTTGGACCTATTTTTCTTCAAATAAACTGATCCCACCTTTTGGACTGGGATAATTTAAAAGACACCTGTGCCCTCCTCTCCTGCTTCAAAGGTAAGATTGCACCCTGCCACACACACTTAGGTAGGAGCACACTCCATTTACTGATATCAAAATCCTTCGGGATCGCTTAAACAGATTAAAAAAGAGTTGTCTGAATTGAAACAGCAGTTAATTGAAACCTTGGTTCTTCGGGGGGGTTAGGAAGAGGTGAGATCTTGCTGACGTTGGTGGATCTGAGCCAAGCAGCAACCTTACATAGACTCAATAACTTCGGAAAGGTCAATTAGTAGGTCAGAGTAATTTACCGGAATAAATTATCAGGACCTCTCAATACTCTAAACATGGCGCCCAACGTGGGGCTCTGTGAAAAATAATACTTTTACAGAGTCAAAATACAAGAACCAAAACCACCTAGTGAAAAAAGTCGATGAATACAAATCAGCGAAATACAGGCTGAAAGTCTTGTTAAAATACCTACCCCAAATCCTAGAATATATATAATTAAACCTGAAAGTGTAGTAATTTAAGTTGATACTATTGCACCGGACTGAGGGTTATATTATATCGGATATAGCTGTCTGATTAAAGAAGCTAAAGAAGGTTCATTTTCCCCTAGCCAAATTGAGAAGCCTGTGGTCCCTTTAACACAGGTTTAGGTGGCTAAAGTGAAGTCAGCCGTAGGAGCACTGCTCAGTACTTGTCCAATTACTTTGAAACTTATAGGTAGGACTTGACCAAGAGCTGCGGTTTGAACTTTTGCGTTAAAACATAACGTGGGGAAGAGTTAATGGGAGATTTAATAAAGATAAACATAGGTCTAAAGGTACCTATGCTGTTTAAAAAATGCGAAGCTCGGTACATACAACTCTTAGCTGAGGTACCCGCATGTACTAGCTGAATCCAGAAAGAGAACTTAGAACCAAGTGACGGTATAGTCGGACTGTACACCCGTCGAGAGTAAAGCCTAGGAACTTGCATGTGTATAAAAGAGTGAACTTGAACCCTTTAAAACATTTTTGTGTTGTTTTTTAAAACAAACAAACAAAGATAAATGGCGGACGAGGTTAGAACGCAGTTTTTAATGACTCGGAGCCAACCACACAGGGGGGATACACAGAAGCAAAATCCGGAGCTTCTGCCCGCCCTGGTCAGCTTAGCCCAGACCCACGGGCGTACCGCGACCAAAATACTTTCCTGTCAGACTACCGTTTGACAGAGAGCAACAAGCAGGTGGTATAATGTTTGAGAACCTATCTCCACCATACAGGGATAAAAGCTCAAAAAATGCCATTTAGGAGTATCCCATCTACTACTCCTAGAAAGAAAAGAAAAAACACATTGTTAGACATGATATTCAGGAAAAAGGAATGTTGGAAATAAATAATGTCAAATATTGAAAATCCTAAAACTGGATCAACAAACCATGTTAATAAACCCTGCTAATAGGAAGCTAAAACATGCAGGAGAAATAGCAGTAGCTCTGGCAAAGAGAATAGGTCCTAGCATGCAAGCACAGTGTGATAATATGATAAGGACTATTAAACTGTCAGAAGGCGATGTGGTGATCAGATGACCCACAAATAACGGTTGTTTTGAATGTACTTTTAAGAAAAAACCTATGTGGGAACTATCAGCAGATAATCAAGCCCCAAAAATATCTTCAAAACTAATATGAGAAAGTTTTTGCGAAGCTAAAGCTCAAATACTTTACCAAAATCAACTAAAGTATTTACTTTTGACCCCTGTTTGGGAATGGGATTTTCCGTTACACAACGGAAAACTCAATTCAAGCCTTAAAGAACGCTTTAAGGACAAGTCAATGAGAGTTAAATGTGGTGCTATTTTGCTCATGAAGGAGAATGCACTTTTGGAAAAAAGGTCTCCTCTTTTCTCTGCTCCCGAGGTGCTGCAGAAACACGCAGGACACGGGGTCAAAGACAGGCGTGACCTCTGGAGGGGAAGAACATTTGAGCAGACCACGAAAGACCATTAAAAGTTTTATGGCCTCAGCACAGAGGAAGATCTGGAGATTTTAAGGAACTCTACCAGGCTACCCACCCCCACCCCAGCACAAGGGAAATAGTGTTCCTCTCACCAATGAATAAATCAACTCTTAACCAAGTCGGATCTAAAATAGACATAGCTCCAGTTGTTAAGAAAAGAGGGAGATTCAAAAAATTATCTTAACACCAGAACAATAATATCAAATATCAAAAACCAAAAGAGTATGTTGAGACCCATTCTCAGAAACTAACAATGTGGAGATAAGGAACCAGGGTGATAGAAAATCTGTGTTATTCATGTCCATGACTTGATCAGGAACAGAGGAAGAATTATCACCTGAAGAGAAGCATCTTGCACTTGCATTCAGATTCTATCCAGCCCTGAGGGAAATGTCTCAAGGTACCAAAATGTGCATATACACTCTTTATTTTTCAATATCTGAAGCTACTAAACAAACTGTTCAGGGAGCAAAAACAATGATGAGTAGATGAAGAAAATAGAAGATGATAATGTCTGATCCAGATGTGGGGTGCAGAGGACCTCAGGAAGTAAGCCACAAAGGGAAACATTGAAACCCTTACAGAAAACCGCTGCTCCACAGATAACACTGTTTACAGAGGGGAGTTTGCGGAAAGGTGACCAAGCAGCCACTTGGGCCTTTATAATGAAAACTAATTCAGGTGAAGTACTTTGCAAGCAAAAGGGTGCAATACCAGGTACAGCCTGCTGAGGAAAAGGCCATTTGTTGAGGGACTTCCTTTTGCTAAAAAAGGAAAAATAGCACACATCCGTATTATTACTGATAGTGATTATTGTTAAAAAGTGGGTAAAGAAGAGCTTAATAATTGGGAACAAAGGCAGTTCAAAAATGTGAAAGGTGAAACGCTGACACATGCCCATCTATTGAGGGTCTTATTGCAGAGTTAAAGGCAGGCATGTAGAATGGAATCATGTCCGTAGCCATACAGATAAGATATAATTTAACTATCAGGGTAATAGAGAAGTTTTACCTTGCTTAAAGCACGGGACGAGTTAACCACCGGACTGCCATATTCCCTAGAATATGGAAAAAGGGTGGAAGCATTCACGTACCACCTGAAGAAGCTCCTTAGGTTGTGCGTGAATTACATAGCAGTTTAGGCCATGTGGGCCTATTTCAGATGAGGAAATATTGTCTCCACAATAAAATCCTCTTACCAAAACTGCGATTGCACTTACAACACACATGGTCAACATGTCTTCAATGTGTAGAGGTGGATGGGTTTAAGAAAGTTCACCCTGAGCATCTTCAAATAATAGAGGAAGGACCACTAACCATTTTTAGTGCTGACATAGCAGGTCTTTTTCTGACCCGCACTCCCAGTGGGAATAAGTATTTCCTTGTGACCTTTGATAAATGGAGGGAGTCATAAACATGTTTATCCTCTGACCAGAGCAACTGGAACACAGTGTCTGCTAAAATGGCGGAACATATAAGTATTTTTCCTAAAAACGGAGAAAATAGGAATGGATAATGTCACTCACTTTAAAAATGAGAAAGTTTTTGTCACCCTTGCAGGATAAAGAAATCACACCTATCTGGTCTTTACCGTATAAGTATCAGAAGTTAGAGCAGCCAAAGAGTGGAGTATAAAAAACTGTAAAACAAATTGGGACATTCCAATCAATTTGACAAGGCTGAATATATTCCTATAAGTATGGAAAAGCTACCTATAGGGCAAAGGTCAGGTCATATCTAACTATCACACCTTTTCCATTTAAATTCAGAAATCGTGTATGGGTGACCAGAAAGGGGCGAAGTCCAGAGAAGGGTTAGCTTCAAACTAAATCAGAAGGTTTGGATGCAGTGAAGTCAATTTCTGGGAAAGTAGTTTCACTCCAGAGGAGAGGACCGGTTCACCCGAGCCAACTGAGTTTAGAATCCAGATAGGAATATGACTGCGGCCTACCCATCCACTGTTGATGCTATCAGTCTCACATCACATGACATGTTTTGCACACACACGTGGCAGTTAATGTGTTTTCTTCCACAGGAGAGGATGGCTTTTTGTGGGATCTTCCCGCAATAAGTTAGAATTTGTCTTGGTAAATTCTGTGCCAAGGGATATTTGATAGAGCAAAAGAGGGAATTTAAATCTGAGTAACAAGCAATAGCTCCAATGCAAAGGATTTAGCAGTAGAACTGTTAGAATCTATAGTGAATTATGCAGAAAGATGGCAAGACGAAACTCTGTCTATTAGCATATGGATCATTAGAGCTTGAATGGAGAATACCTCAGTATCAAAGAGGAAATGGAAAATAACCTTTATATTATTTTTCTCATTGTTTTTTAACTTTACACTATTAGTTTTCTTTTCAGTTATTTTTAATTGATATACGCTTACACCCTAAAAAGAGTATTCATTTAAATTAGATTTTTTGAGCACATCTCTCCTTCTTTTTTGCTGGTTCTCACACAGCATGAAGGTGTAGGGCTGTCAGGTCGTTAAACTGATAAGAGTAGATTATGGCCCAGTGCTTTCTGCCATTAGAGGCCAACTGAGTAAGAGGAGAAACAATCACCTTGCTGTATATAGAAATTACAGAGCAATATGGAATACACGACCCCCTTGAGAAAACCCTTGGGGAAGTTTTTATTTTAACTGAAACAACTTTTTATGAATCAGAGAAATGATTTAAACTTGATTTTAGCTATATTTTTGAGATTAATACCTCAGCAATCTACCAAGAGGATTTGAACCTGCCTAGCGGGGAAACTTCAGTCACAGTGCCTCAAGTGAGGCCAAGTAAACTCCTGGACCCAGGAAACCTGTGCAGAAGGACCGGAAGGGGCAAGCGGTGAAAAGGAGGAGACTCGTAAGAGAAAAGAGCGATCTGATTCAGAGGTCTCCCCGGGTGCCCAAGCCAAAAAGATGTCCTTGCTGTCAATAGAAATTCTAGAGGAACATGGAGTACCAGACCCCTTGGAAGGATTCCTGGGGGAAATTGTTTCAAATGAAACAATTATTAATGGATCAGAGGTCGCATACGTGTATGATCATAACTATATGGATGATATTAGTACCTCTGGAATCTACCAAGAGGAATTGAACCAAATCAGCGAAACTACTTCAGGCACAGGGTTTCCAGTAAAGCCAATTCCTGAAACCAGAAAACCGGTGCAGAATGGATCAGCGGCTGAGTCACCTATGACCCCGCCAGAGGAGGAGGACGATTCTTCCAGCTCTGTGGGACAGGCTGCATCTCTACCCGCTGAGCCACTCAGATCGCAGTGGATTTCCCAGAAAAGGATGACGACTACCTGATAACTGCATGGTCAGATATCAGACGCCAGGTAGCAGCAGCCCTACCTACCCCCTGCCACTGGTCCACTTCACCATCTCCAACCCGGTGACTTCGTGCTGGTCAAGGACTTCCGGAGAAAGAGCTGGAAATCCAACCATTGGCAAGGTCCCTACCAGGTGCTTCTCATCACCCAGACAGCGGTCAAGGTCACCGAGAGAGCCACGTGGGTCCACGCCAGCCACTGCAAGGTCGTAGTCACAGGCCAGGAGAGACGGTAGAAACAGACGACAACAAGTGATGTGTCCTAGTCACCAACGAAAGACGACAACAAGTACCACCAACACCACACTGGCACCACATACACCTAATCTCACACTGCACACACAGGATGTCATGAGCACAGCTAAGCTGTTTCATATGCCTCTGGTTCCTCGTTTGTGCTATCATTGTGTGGGGACTCATTGACCTTGTCACAAAGTCATGAGCGATTATTGACGAGGTCTAAAAAATCCATAACAACTGTCGACCGAGTTATCTGGTTTTCGTTTGGAGATGTCGTCCAGCGAAAAACTGCAACCCCTCCATGGTCAGGGTCAAGGATTTACATCAGATAGCAACATGGATTTAGGAGTCTACAACAGATGGGCCCCTCGCCCAAGGACATTCCTGTACGGTACTATGTTTTCGGTGTTTTTTCACACCAGGTTCATCAAAAGGTCGTCCTGATTACACATACTGAAGAACTTTTCATGATATTGATGCGTGGAGTTTTACGGATGTAATATGTATGTGTTTTTACGATTTTATCTGTTGATATTTGATAACTTTGCGTTTGAAAAGAGGGTGTTGAGATCTTCATATGAAGTGAATACTTAAAACGAAAGTTAATTGAGATCATGGTATGAAGTGAATACTTAAAAACGAAAGTTAATTATAAATCATACATGATCAATCATATTCTTGTATAAACCCATAAGGAGAATGCTTCTTGACGGTTTTTGAATATGTATCTATGCTTACAATTGTTTCTGTTGCTATTTGAGAACTTTGCGTTTTGAAAAGAGGGTGTTGTGAGTTTTCATAGTATGTTTAATACTTCAAAACGAAAGTTAGTTATAATCAAATATAATCAATTATATTCTTGTATAACCCACAAGGAAAATGCTTCATATTTTAGGTTTTTCTATAGTTACAGTATAAACAAAACAAAGTGGTTTGTTTAGGTTGAGTTTTCTTCCTCTCCTCTGGCAGCAGTCCACAGGGAGGGGGGGCTTCACACTAGAGAAACACATTAAAGGCCAAAAAGAGGTCATGTCCTTTTTTACCTCATATGAAAGGGTGTCTTATCCCTATAACAGCTGTGGAACATGTCGGGACATGTTTAGCCTTGTACATTAGTGCACATGCGCAGTTTTCAACTGAATTGGGTGAAGAGGAGGAGTTTGTTTTTTTGGGTTTTCGATCTAGTTTTTTAGCATAAAGAGACTGGTTTTTTTGAGAGAGCGAGAGAGAGGGGGGTTGACCCCTGGTAGACTCTCTCCCGGTAGGCTGTGTGCTTCAGAGCTGGGTAACTAGCTCTCGGTATTGGTTCTGTCAGACGGGGTAAATATCTCTCGATTTTCTTGGTTGTTGGCTGAGTGGAATGATTTGATGAGAGATGTGTTGGTGGATATTATAACCCGCGACCTGTGAGGACCTTCCTTCGAACTCTTGGCGGATGGGAATGTGTTTTTTGACAGGTTAATCCGCCGTCTGTGTCGGAAAAAAAGTGTTTGAATATTATAACCCGCGACCTGTAAGGACCTTCCTTCGAACTCTTGGCGGATAGGAATGTGTTTTTGACAGGTTAATCCGCCGTCTGTGTCGGAAAAAAGGTATGAAACTGATGTGAATTGAGTTGGTAAAATGAAAAAGTTGAATGCGCATTTTATTGTCACCGGTCTTTTTACGAGGAAATACCTCTAAATTCTATCGGGAGAATTTTAAAATGTCACAACTGAAATGGGCAGTTGAAATTAAACATTTTGGTAATAAATGTAAGACTGTGAATTAAAGTTTCATATTTGAACATGATCACAGCACGGTTTTTTTTTAGTATGATTATAATGTTGTAAAGAGAGAAGGTAAAAACCCTGTATTAGTTTGGACCTATTTTTCTTCAAATAAACTGATCCCACCTTTTGGACTGGGATAATTTAAAAGACACCTGTGCCCTCCTCTCCTGCTTCAAAGGTAAGATTGCACCCTGCCACACACACTTAGGTAGGAGCACACTCCATTTACTGATATCAAAATCCTTCGGGATCGCTTAAACAGATTAAAAAAGAGTTGTCTGAATTGAAACAGCAGTTAATTGAAACCTTGGTTCTTCGGGAAGTTAGTAGAGGTGAGATCTTGCTGACGTTGGTGGATCTGAGCCAAGCAGCAACCTTACATAGACTCAATAACTTCGGAAAGGTCAATTAGTAGGTCAGAGTCATTTACCGGAATAAATTATCAGGACCTCTCAATACTCTAAACAGTATTTATTAGTTCTGACGGATCACACTGTGTTCACTGTGTTGTGTTTGTGGATCTCCCCTGTGCAGCTCTGAGGAATCAAACTGAAAACACTCACACTTCCTCAGACCAGGTTTCAACCACTGCAGTCCACCATGGTCCATCCTGCAGGAAGAAACACAGTCAGGATCAACTTCATACACCTTCACTCATATCCACCATTAGACAGGAAGCAGAGTCCCTCAGTCAGTGACAGAGACTCAGTCTGTCCGTCTGTCCGTCTGTCCGTCTGTCCGTCTGTCCGTCTGTCCGTCTGTCTGTCTGTCTGTCTGTACCTGAGTGTCTCCAGTCTCCAGAGTGGATCCTCACGTCCAGCAGACAGCAGCTTCTCTCCTGAGTCTCCTGGATGATTGTATCTCAGGTCCAGCTCTCTGAGATGGGAGGGGTTGGAGCTCAGAGCTGAAGCCAGAGAAACACAGCCTTCCCCTGTGACCAGACAGCCTGACAGACTGAACACACACACACACACACACACACACACACACACACACACACACACACAACACACACACACACACACACACACACACACACACACACACACACACACACACACACACACACACACACACACACACACACACACACACACACACACACACACACACACACACACACACACACACACACACACACACACACACACACACACACACACACACACACACACACACACACACACACACACACACACACACACACACACACAGCGCGTTAAAGTATCCGGTCTTCTAAGCTCTCTCAGTCTATCAAATCCAATAGTTTATATATGAACGAAATGAAAGTTTTTAAATAGCTTTTCACTGACCTGAGAGTCTCCAGTTCACAGTGTGGACTCTCCAGTCCAGCAGACAGCAGCTTCACTCCTGAATCCTGCAGGTCGTTGTTACTCAGGTCCAGCTCTCTCAGACTAGAGGACTGGGAGCTGAGGACTGAGGACAGAGCTGCACAGCTTCTCTCTGACAGCTTGCAGCCACTCAGTCTGAGGAGACGATGAGGACAACAGTTATTCAGAAGACAGCAATGTGTTAATAACTGATTCACTAAATCAATGATCTCTGTACTTACAGAGCTTTCCTGGAGGCTTTGACCACTGGCAGCAGCCTCAGAAGAGCCTCCTCTGAAGCAGAGTATTTCTTCAGGTCAAACACGTCCAGATCTTCTCCTGATGTCAGTAAGATGAAGACCAGAGCTGACCACTGAGCAGGAGACAGATTATCTGTGGAGAGACTTCCTGAGCTCAGGTACTGTTGGATCTGCTTCACTAGAGAACGATCATTCAGTTCATTCAGACAGTGGAACAGGTTGATGCTTTGCTCTGCAGAGAGATCCTTGTCCATATTCTTCTTTATGTACTGGACTGTTTTCTGTGTGATCTCTGAGCTACTTCCTGTCTGTGTCACCAGGCCTCTTAGGAGTTTCTGAATGGTATTCAAGCCATTTCTTGTCCATGTCAGCAGGCCTCGTAGGAGTTTCTGATTGGTCTGCAGTGAAAGACCCAGGAGGAAGCGGAGGAACAAGTCCAGGTGTCCGTTTGGACTCTGTAAGGCCTTGTTCACAGCATTCTGGTAGAGATTTGTTAGTTTAGGTTTCACACCAGAATGTTGGAGGGTTGATGGTTCTTCTTTCAGCAGGTTGACTCCAGAGGTGATGAAGGTCAGATGAACATGAAGAGCAGCCAGAAACTCCTGAACGCTCAGATGGACGAAGCAGAACACCTTGTCCTGGTACAGTCCTCTCTCCTCTCTAAAGACCTGTGTGAACACTCCTGAGTACACTGAGGCTGCTCTGATATCGATGCCACACTCTGTCAGGTCGTGATCATAGAAGATCAGGTTGCCTTTCTGCAGCTGCTCAAAAGCCAGTTTCCCCAGAGACTCCATCATCTTCCTGCTCTCTGGACTCCAGTGGGAATGTCTCTCACTTTTTCCATGATACTTGACGTTCTTGACTTTGGACTGGACCACCAGGAAGTGGATGTACATCTCAGTCAGGGTCTTGGGCAGCTCTCCTCTCCCTCTGGTTTTCAACATGTCCTCCAGAACTGAAGCAGAGATCCAGCAGAAGACTGGGATGTGGCACATGATGTGGAGGCTTCGTGAGCTCTTGATGTGGGAGATGATGGTGCCGGCCTGCTTCTGATCTCTGAATCTCTTCCTGAAGTAAACCTCCTTCTGTGGGTCAGTGAACCCTCGGACCTCTGTCACCATGTCCACACACTCAGGAGGGATCTGATTGGCTGCTGCAGGTCGTGTGGTTATCCAGAGGCGAGCAGAGGGAAGCAGCTTCCCCCTGATGAGGTTTGTCAGCAGCACATCCACTGAGGTGGACTCTGTGACATCAGTCAGGATCTGAGTGTTGAGGAAGTCCAGAGGAAGTCGACACTCATCCAGACCGTCAAAGATGAACACGACCGGGAACTGATCGAACCTGCAGATTCCTGCGTCTCTGGTTTCAGGGAAGAAGTGATGAACAAGTTCCACCAAGCTGTACTTGTTCTCTCTCACCACGTTCAGCTCTCTGAAGGTGAATGGAAATATGAACTGGATGTCCTGGTTGGCTTTGCCTTCAGCCCAGTCCAGAGTGAACTTCTGTGTTAAGACTGTTTTCCCAATGCCAGCCACGCCCTTTGTCAGCACTGCCCTGATTGGTGCATCTCTTCCAGGTGAGGCTTTAAAGAGGTCTTCTTGTCTGATGGTTGTTTCTGGTCCGTCTGGTTTCCTGGATGCTGTTTCAATCTGTCTGACCTCATGTTCCTTGTTGACCTCTGCAGACCCCCCCTCTGTGATGTAGAGCTCTGTGTAGATCTGGTTCAGAAGGGTTTGGTTTCCTGCTTTAGCGATGCCCTCAAACACACACTGGAACCTCTCCTTCAGGGTGGATTTGAGTTTACGCTGACACTCTGCAGCAAAGGTTTCTGAAAGAACACACAATCAAAAGATCATTAGGTCACACCGTAACCCTCGCTCTCTGAATAAAATATGAATGAATTCCAACCCATCCATTGAGAGTAGATGAGACATTTATCCAGAGTGTTAAATCTCTATAGCAGGGGTGCCCAACCTTTTTTGAACCAAGAGCTACTTTTAAAGTTGCCAGTCTGCCGAGATCTACCAGTCCAAATAGAAAGACGTAGCCATTACTGACAGCCTCCTACCAGGTAAATACACACTTCTACTTGTATAAAACTGACCTTTGTACGATTAATACTTCATAAAATACTGCAGATCCTTTATCTTACCTCTTTCTAATCTACACAAGTATTTAACTGAAGTTACACAACAGTGTTGTTGATACAGAGTTGGAGTTTATTCACACGTCACTACAGTGAGTAATGTTTTCAAGAAGCATTGAACAGTGCTGCCTCATATGACTCAGGAACAAAAGACTCTGAACCCTTTCTTTGCCATTATATAAAAATAGTGTTGCTACAAAAGTATAAATGAGGCTTCCTAATAAGACAACTCAGATCTGAAGCTACTCAGGAATCTGCTGCCAACGTGCAATAAAAAAGACTAAATTAATCAAACCCTTTTTTTGTTGCATTTTAGTAGAATATAAAAATAAATGCCTTTTAAATAGGATGCAAGCAACACTAGCTTCTTAACCTGAATTGATAATAGACTATAATCAATTTAAGTTTGCATTCTTATACCATTTTGTACAATAATTATAATGAATAAGTTCAAACAAACTAAAACTTACAGCAGATTAATAACGGTATCTAACTTGAGTTTTTATTATATCAAAAACCTGTTGAAATGCTTCTGTTATTTTTACTGTCCCCAAAAAGCGCGTCGGCAGCCTCCAGGAATGCTTCTTTCACAACTTCGCCGTCTTTGAAAGACTTCATGTGTTTCTCAAGAACGTGACTGACACGATAAGATGCTCTGGTCGCAGCCTTGCTCTTGTTGTTGGGCCTGGTGAAAATGGACTGCTGTGCATTTAGCTGTCCTTTCAGGCCCCTCCCCTTTTGGAGCGTAGGGCAGATTTAGGAGAGAGTTCCGTCTCGTAGCGTTTGTGCACTGTTTTGAAATGCCGCTCCTAAATGACCCTTCTTCGATAAAGCCACGCTCGCATTGCAGATGAGACAGATGGACTTTGAATTGGAATAGATACAAAATAATCATCCTCCCACTCGGAGTGTGTATATATTTTGGGCTTTTTTGCTTCTGCCATAAATGTGGTCTTGTGTGTGTGTGGACTGTCACTCCTGTTGACACGGATAACGTCAGCAAAATAGTGCCCACTGCCCACCAGCCACGCCCCCACACATGGGGTCACGCCGGCCAATCACAAAGCTTTGGTGCGTTCAAGTGCATTATTCTGGCACGGGAAGATTATGTTATTGGACATTAACGATAAAACAGAATATTGTTGTTCTATTTTTAGACACATCTCGCGATCGACTGGGAATCTCCCCGCGATCGACCGGTCGATCGCGGGGAGATTCCCAGATCGACTGGTTGGGCACCCCTGCTCTATAGAAATCCTCTTACTGCTCTGCAGACGCTCAGCCAGCTCCTCCTGCTTCATGCTCCTCAGGAAGTGCAGTGTGATGTTCAGAAATGCCTCTCTGCTCTTCCTCTGCTCTTCATCCTCAGCCTCCAACACCTCCTCATCCTCACTCTGAGTCTCTAAGCCTTCTGGGTAATCTGAACTCAGAGCCTTCTGGATCTTCTTCAGCTCGTTCTTCACAAAAGTGACGATGTGGTCCTCCAGCAGCTGGAACAGGTTGATAAACATTGATCAGATTAATATCGTTAAAACAAAGTTATTATAATCAAATATAATATTGTATAATCCACAATGTAAAATGCATTATATTATATGTTGGTCTATGTTTAGAAAGTGTAAACTAGGAGTGATCGATGGAGTAAGACGCAACTTTTAGGAGCTCCTGCAACATGCTCTGAAATGTGATTACAGGCACATTATTTATGAGATAGTTCTTGGTGTAAGAGTATTTAAAAGTTTAATCTCGACTTTTTGATGACCAACATGCCTTTTAAAGCCAAAAGTACGAATAATTTGTCCGCCCCGTCTCAGAGGCCTGCTCCCCACGCTGCATCCTCGCCTCCGAGTGATCCCTCCTCCCTTCGCAGCGTAGCTGTGGGGCCCGCTGTCCCCCCCGATTTCAAGGAGGAGATGCTCGCTTCACTCCGTACTGAGATGGCGGCTGAGCTCCATGGCCCCGAAGGACAACTTATCATCCATCAAGGCAGAGCTACAAACAGTGATGGCGGATTTAAGTGTCAGTATTACGAATATCAAGTCTGATGTGAGTTTCTTGAAATCTACCGTAGAGGAAATGGAAACTTCGCTCTCGACCTGCACTGATGACATCTCTACACTGCAGGCTAAAGTGGAGCACCTGTCCGCTGAACTGGAGAGAGTGGATAATAAGTGCAAAGATCTCGAGGCCAGATCACGGCGTAACAACGTAAGGATCGTGGGTGTACCGGAAGAAACAACCATCACTAACACAACTGCCGCTATTTCCACTCTGCTTAAAGAGGCTTTTAAGCTGGAGAAAGAGCCACTTCTGGACCGCGCCCACCGCACCCTCCAGCCGAAGCCGAGACCTGGCGAGCGCCCCCGCACCATAAATGCCCGACTTCACTACCATGCGGACTGTGTTGATATCTTGCGGAGAGCCAGAGCACAAAAACGGATCAAGATCGGGGACTTTGTCATCTCCATATTCCCTGACCACACCTCGAGGACAGCCCGTGCCCGTGCCCGTGCCCGTGCTGCCTTCAATGACGTCCGCCGTCAGCTCCGTGAGATACCGGGGATACGTTTTGGTCTGCTTTACCCAGCGCGACTCCACATTACCCATGGCGGTACCGAGAGGCAGTTTAATTCACCGGATGACGCCGAGACATTCATTAAGACACTGGTCAAGTAAGGGATCTCTTAACACACCATGATGAACACCTCTGGAACAATTATTTACTCTTTATTTTACTTAAATCCATACACCAAGTTCTCTGTATGTGGAAGTTGATCTGGTTATAAGTGCCTTGCTCTATATCAATCTCAAGTTTGCAGGAGCTTAACCTAAGTGTACCTAAGTTTAGCTTTCACTATTAGGTCACAAGCTGTTAGCCATAGGAATTTGACTCCTCGTGGAGTTAGCACTGGGTTCTCCATCGTTTGGGGATGGGGTCGATGTAAGTGCTATGGGATGGGTGGGAGGGGCTGGGATTGTTTACTGTGTGTTTTTATATTTTATTTAATTTATTTTTTCTATTGCTTTGTTTCCCTCTATGTCTCTTTCGGGGTGGTGCTTCATAGTCAGTTCTCTCTTTATAGAAAGTCCTCAGTAAATGTCCACCAATACTAGCAATTTAGGAATGGCTCCTACTGGCTCACCAGTGAAGTTTGTAAGCTGGAACATTAAAGGTATGGACAGAGACATTAACATGACATTAAGGATTTTGGGAGATGGCCCTGTTAGCTTAGATGGCCCTGTGGGCCCTGTGGGCCATCTAAGCTAATTTACAGATGGCCCTGAGCCCAATAGAGATTGCCCTGAAAAAATGCGCGCGGACGAAATGACGCACGAAGGGTTTGGGACATTAGATTTGTGCAGGTCTTAGATGCTGTCTGGTGCATTCTCTAGACTGAATTATAAGATGAACCACCACAATATTATATTGTACAATTTCAATTGTATTCTTCATTTCACTTGTTTGTTTGTTCTTGTTTGTGTTTGCTCACTTGCATGCCCTGCATAGCTTTAAGAAACACTTAAGTTGTTGGTCAAGACACTTTCCATCTGATGAAGGCAAATGCCTTCCAGATGGAAACAAGTAGAAAACATTACATTCAGTTATAACTGCCAAAACAAACATTATTTACACTATTATGCCCCCTGTTAAAAATGTTCGTAATGTTATCTACTGTGAGTTGGTCGAACGAATGCCTCCTCATCCGGAAGCTGACCGAGCAGACCCGAGCAGCAGTCGAGAGGAGCCGAGCGCATCCGCGCAGCACAGAGTTCCCGTTAGCCGGCAAATCTAAATCTCTTCGGTCAAAATCATTTCCCTTTAGCGCAATACCGCTTCAGTTGGGCCACTTATGTGACAGACAAGAAGAGTATGTGACAGACATGAAGAGTCAATTCTAATGTCTAACACTTAATGTGGAGAAAGAGATGTCCTGGATGGGTTGATTGTGCGTTGATCTGTTGGTAATGCCTCGGGGTTCCGGTGGGCATGTAAACAAATGCATAATGCTGCGCTATACTTTGTGGCCTCACCCGGTTGCATAGCAACGCTTATTGTTTAGGTGTCTTTTAATAAGCAGGTAGTCATATCATTAGCTAGAACTAGCTGGATCTGATCGATATGGACATAAACGAGAGTCTAATCTGACGGGAGAGAGAGATCAGCTGACGAGTCGACACGCAGCTCTGCATGATCACATGCAGCGGTGAGCGGACAAAACACACTTCAGGTTAGAATATCACACGTAGCTATTTTAATGACCTCTCAAACTACCGTAACTAGTTATAGATATGTTTAGTTTTACTGTCGGGTCACTCATTACTGGATCCGAGAGCTGCATGATACTGGCATAATAGATTACACGATCGGGCAACCAGCAGGTGAGGCTTCATTGCCCGAGCTAAATACTAGATGGCCCCGGGCCATCGGGCAGTCCTTGATGTCGAGCCCTGTATGGGGAGCCCCTTGAAGAGATCCAGGGTATTTGCTCTTCTGAAACGACTTAATGCAGACATAATGTTTCTACAAGAAACCCATATGCGCTCCACAGACCAGGTCAGGCTTAAGTGTCCATGGGTTTCTGAGGTGTTCCATTCAAACTTCAACTCTAAGTACAGAGGGGTTGCCATTTGAATTGGTAAGTCTGTTAATTTCACATCTTCCAAGTGTATAGCGGATGACAATGGCAGATATTTAATGATCTCAGGCACGCTGTTTCATGTTCCTGTATTGTTAGTCAATATGTATGCCCCAAATTTTGATAACCCACACTTCATGAACAAGCTTTTTGAATGTCTTCCGTCACTGCATAATAACCTGCTTATATTTGGAGGGGATATGAACCTCGTTGTCGATCCCAGTCTAGATCGTTCTTCTCCTAAAACACTGACCGCATCACTCATGTCAAAAACTCTTTCTGACTTCATGTCCAAGAACGGCTGCGTTGACCCCGGTTGACCCCTGGAGATTCATTAAGGAATATTCCTTCTTTTCTCATATGCACAAATCCTTTTCTCGAATTGATTATTTCTTCATCGATGCCAAACTTATTACCAAAGTGTCGTCAGTTAAATAACACCCTATTGTAATTTCCGACCACGCTCCTCTTTCTCTGGATATTTGGATTTCACCGCAACCACGATACTCAACGCCGTGGAGGTTTAATACTTTGCTGTTGTCAGATGACACATTTAATAAATTGATTGCAACTTCAATTGATGATTTTATTACAAACAATCAAAACGACAATGAACCCATGTCTTGTTCTCTGCTGTGGGAATCGTTAAAAGCCTACGGGGCCAAATCATCTCTTATTCTGCGCAGTTAAATAAAACTCGTTCTGCCAAAATTAAAGATATATCATGCAAGATAAAAAAAATAGATCAGCAATTAGCCATTTGTCTCTCTCCCAATTTACACAAAGATCGAGTTGAATTACAGACGGAATTTGATCTCATAACAACTACTGATGCAGAGCGCCTTCTTTTACGCTCACGTTCAACGTATTATGAGCATGGTGATAAGGCGAGCCACCAATTGCGTCGTCAGGCAGCCTCACGTATAATCCTCCAGATAAAAGATTCATCAGGCACGGTGCTTACCGATCCTAGTACCATTAACTCAGTCTTTGGCTCATTCTATTCTTCTCTATACAAGTCTGAATCGCCATCCGACACTTCTGAGATGGGCGCTTTCTTTGACAATCTCAATTTCCCTACTATAGGTCCTGGTGTTTCAAAAGAACTTGATTCTCCATTAACCTCAGATGAGATCTCCCACAGCATATTCCTTCTCCCATACACCCAGACCCACTGGCAGAGGAGGTGGCACTGGTCTCCTGCTCTCTCCCAAATGGAGCTTTTCCCTCTTCAAGCTACCTAACTTCACTCCTTCCACCTTTGAATTCCATGCCGTCACAGTAACCCATCCTATACAGTTAACCATTGTTGTTCTCTACCGTCCACCAGGCGCCTTGGGGGACTTCTTGGAGGAATTAGATCATCTCCTCTCACACATCCCTGAAACTGGCCCTCCCGCTGTACTTCTCGGAGACTTCAACCTCCAGACGGGGAAGATAGACAAACTAACATCTCTGTTAACCGCCTTTGCTTTCTCACTGTCTCCTTCCCCACAAACTCATAAAGCTGGCAATGTCCTTGATCTCATATTCTCAAGGAACTGCGCTACTTCTAACCTCTCTGTAAACCCGCTCCACACATCCGATCACTTCTTCATTTCATTCTCTCTACCCCTTTCCAAACATAACAAACTAATCTCTTCTCATCCTGCACCTGTCCGCCGTAACCTTCGTTCCCTCTCCCCCTCTACCTTTGTCTCATCGGTGCTCTCAGCCCTCCCTTCCTCGGACTCGTTCCAACTACTACCTCCAAACTCTGCTGCAGAATCTCTCCTCTCTACTCTCTCATCCACTCTGGACTCGCTCTGTCCTCTCACATCTCTGCAGGCTCGTCAGTCCCCTCCTGCTCCCTG